TCTTTATGTTTAGTGAAGTATGATTTAAGTTTGTGTGTTGGTTTATGTGCAATGTTTATTTTGAATGGTCGGAGTAGTCTTGATGTCATTTCTGATGCTCCGTTTATATATGGTAATGTCACTATTTTTACTGGTTCGTCTGTATCTTCGTTAGGTTTTTCACTTTGTGGTTTGTTGTGTATTTTGTTTAATACTTTGTTGATAAAGTTTCGTGGGTAATTGTTGTTTATGAATGTAGAGTATAAGTAGTTGCGTTCATTCTTCTTGGCTTCTTCTGTATTGCAGTGTGTTTTAATCCTGTTAAAGAGAGTTTGTATGCAACTAATTTTGTGTTGTGTTGGGTGATTGCTATTAAAGTTGAGTATTTGGTCTGTGTGTGTATTTTTGCGGAATACTTGCGTGTTTAATGTGCCGTCATGTGATCTGGTAAGTAGACTATCTAGGAAGGTAATTTGTTTGTTCTGTTCTTTGTCCATGGTGAAGGTTATGTTCTGTGTGGTGTTGTTTATTGTGTGTAGAATGTGTTCTGTTTTGTCTTTTTCGACGATAGCAAAGATGTCGTCAGCAAATCTTTTCCATAGTCTGATGTGTGTGTTGTTGGTGACTGAATGCTTTCTAGGTGTTGCATAACAGCTTCTGCAAGAAAGGTGGATAAATGAGAACCCATTGGTGTTCCTGAGATTTGTCAGTAATATGAATTTTGGAGAGGCAGAGCTCGAGCAGGTCGATGATATCGTCTTGGTCTAGTTCGGTTGTGATTTTCAATGAGTTGTTGTTAGTAAGTAGTTCGTTCGTGACTTGTTTGGCTATGTTTAGTGGTATGGATGTGAAAAGTGACACTACATCGTAAGATATCATGATTTCGTCTGGTTTTAGTTTTACATTTTTAATATTGGTGAGGAAAGTTGTGGCATTTTTGATAGTATGATGTGATGATGTGACTAGTGGGTGCAGAATATTAGAAAGATATTTAGATAGTTCATACGTGGGAGATCCAGGAAGAGATACAATTGGTGGTAGTGGGTTGTTTTCCTTGTAAATCTTTGGTAGTCCATAGAATTTGGCGGTGGAGGAGTCGTTCGGTCGGATTCTTTTGTAGACGGTTTCGTTAAGTTTCTTTTTGTCTTTTAGTTGTTTTAATTTCTTGTTGATGCGGTTGGTAGTGGTTTTGTTGGGGTCTGTTTGTAGAGGTTCATACGTGTTGGTGTCTTGTAAGAGGGTCTTCGCTTTGTTGATGTAGGATGATTTGTCCATGATTACAGTTTTGCGTCCTTTGTCGGCTGGTAGTATGACTATGTCTTCGTCGTTTCGTAAGTTTCTGATAGCTTTTTGTTCTTCGTGTTAAGTGTGACTGGTCTTTTGAGGCAGAGGTTTGTCGTTACTTTGTGGCGAATGTCTTCTTTGATTTCATCACTTAAGTTGGTGAATTTCAGTGTGGATTCTAGATCGGCAACGAAGAGTAGTTCGTCGGCGTCTTTGATGTTGTAATTTAAGCCTTTGCTTAAAATTTTAGTCTGCGGTGCGGCGAGTGGTTTGCTTGATATGTTCTTGACCCATGAATGCGTGTCGGTGTTAGTTTCCTTAAATGATCTCGATTTTTGCAGTTTTCGTTGGAGTTCGTTGTGTCGTTTTGTTCGATGCGCGTTTGTTGTTTCTTTGATGGTTTCGTCTATGGATTTGGCATCTGTTTGTGTGATGGGATTCGTAACAGTTTCTTGATGTTGGTTTAATTTTCGTCTGTAGATTCGTAAGCGGTTGTGAGCGTCAGATATGAGGATGTTCAGCATACGTCGGCCGTTTGATTGTGCTATTTGTTGGGCATAATTCGTTTTTATTGGTGGTTGGTAGTTGATACTGTTCGGTCGGATTCGCTGTTGTTTGCAGTTGTGTAAGAAGTGTAGTTGCTCCAACGTCGATATTTCTTAGCGTGCGAATAATTCCCACTTTCTCGTTATTCTGAGAGTATCCATCCCATATGTCGATTAAAAGGAGACATACAACATAAAATTCGGATTGTTATTTTTGTACTTTACATGAAGGTATAGCTCCAACTAATAGTTCACCAAAGTTTGAGACTCAAAGGATAAATATTTTTGAAGATATGGAGGTTTAAAGTTGATGCTTTACTGATAACGTATTGAAAATGCCCGACGAGCTAGCGACAGCTACCGATGTCATTGTGACGTAATAGTTGACATTCGCTAAACGCGGTCAATTGCGCGCTTCGTTCAAAATATATTGGTAACTTCTTAACAACACGAATATTTAGCATTGAAAATATGGTTTATTGTGCCGCATTTAATTGTAAAAACGGTTCTTCTAAGAACCCCGAAACGCAGCAAAAGGTTTCTTTCTTTTCGTTTCCCGAAAACAAGCGCATGCGAAATATTTGGATTGAAAAAATCCGACGCAAAAATTGGAAGCCAACAAAGAGCTCAAAATTGTGCTCGCAACATTTCGAGAGTTCGTGCTTCGTGCAAAATTTTGAAGCGATGCAATCATTAGGATGGACAGCAGGACGGCTTCGCCTTAAGAAGGATGCTGTACCCACGATTTTTGAATACTCTGTGGAACCCACAAGTGTAGCATCTAAAAGGAAGCAGCCAGCAAATGTTAGAACTGCATTTGAGAAGAGACGAAGGCAAGAGGTGAATATTATAGTTATAGTTAGCAATATTTTTTTACATTTATCAAAAACTAAGCTATATAGCATTACCAAATTGAAGACAATTTTATAATTTTAGATTATTGACAACGTTCTTGCATAACATGACGACTTTCTTGTAGACGACGACCACGATGTGTCGACATCGGCTCGAAATGTTTGTGCGTTTTACCTCAAAGGAAGTTTGTCTAAGATGAATGATGTCAACATATATGTAGACAGCGAAACACAAACATATACAGCGGTAACTAATTCAGACTAATGTTGTTTGATCTTTTCTTTGTTATTTTAACTCATAAAAAATTCCTTAACGTACCTTAGAAGCGCAATGTGAAATGCCAAGCAGCCATAACAATCCGTCCGCAAAAACACGTAAGGTCAAGAACCACTCAAACAAAAGTGCAAAATATGATAAGTAGAGGTATAGACTTTCCATTCCGGCCGTTTTGATTTTTGTGAAAAATCCAGCAATACGATAATTTTATGCTAAGGTACGGAGGTTGAGTTCATTTCAACAAAAAATCACAGCACACAGACGACATCATGTGAAATTGAACATTTTGAGGATAGCGCTGTATGGTCGGAAAGCACGTCGACGATGAGCCATAGCAACAATGGATCAGACTCTCAATGTTCAAATGAGTTAAGCGAAAATGAAGAATCCGACAATGACAATGCGACGTTAGTACCAACTATCCCGTCACCTGACTATTCTTTACATTGCTTTTCTCTGTTATATGTTTCTCAGAACGTTACGTTTATCTCTCTTTGATTCTGATGATAATTTTTATGTTATAGGGAAGATGTTCAAAATGAGAGAAAATACATAGTGTTTGATAGTTGCCTGAGACAGTAAGTGAGTCAATGCCCATGTTGTGGTGAAAGCTGTTCCATGACTGGAATAGCCAACCTCTTCATGGACGAATGCCTTTGGGCAACTTGGTCTTTGCTGCCAGCATCTTGTTTAGTGGTAGTAGCCCCAGCAAAGTTCTTCAATTCCTTCGTCACTCAGGCATACAATTTCTGTCAGAGCGCACATATAGCAATATTCAAACAGCGTATTTGATACCCAGTGTTTCAAATGTTTGGCATATGAACCAAAAGCATCTTCTAGAATCAATCAGAGAAAGGAACATTAACCTTGGAGGAGATGGAAGATGTGATTCGCCTGGATATTGTGCCAAGTATGGGTCATATAGCTGCATGGATTTGGAATCTAACTACATTTTAGACACACAACTTGTTCAGGTAACAATTCTTCAACAACTGTACATAAAACATGGTTAGAATACTCACATAATTATGTTACACAGTCCAATGAAGTGACGAACTCTGGAGCAATGGAACTTGAGGGATTAAAGAGATGTCTGGCAAAGTTTGATGATAGTGGGATGAAGGTGAAGTCAATGACCACAGACAGACATGCTCAAATCAAATCCTACATGTCAAAACAAAGACCTAAAATCGAGCACTACTTTGATATATGGCATATAGCAAAAGGTATGGATTGTCATAACAAACCAGCCTTTTACACATTTCATCAATAATCAAATTCCAACAGGAATTAAAAAGAAAATTTGGGCAGCATCAAAAAAAAGTGGTTGCAAATTATTGTCGGATTGGGCCCAATCAATTTCCAACCATGTATACTGGTGTGCTGCTTCCAGCAATGGTGATAAAGAACTTGTCAAGGCAAAGTGGTTGTCAGTTCTCAATCATATATGTGACATCCATGAGGGACATAGTGATGTATTTTAAAAATGTGAACATGATATGTTAGAGCCTAGAATGTGGATAAAAAAAGGTATTGTAAGCAAATAAATTTCAAAGTAACATCAACATTCTTTTTCTTTTTGTTAACTAACTTCTGATCTTAGGTTCAAAAGCTTATGTTGAGCTGTCTTCGATTTTTGAGTCCAAGTATCTCATGAGACATATTGGAAAACTCAGTTATCAGAAGCAGACTTCATCCATTGAAGGTTTCCACCGAGTGGTGATTCTTTTTGCACCAAAACATACCCATTTTTTCTACAGATCAATGGAAGCAAGGTAATATAATTATGACTAGTGTATGATTACTTAAAAAAGTCATCATTGCAAAAGCAATAAGTTGCAATAGTTGTAAACATAAACTTAACATTCATTTGTAGATTGTTTATTGCCGCTCTTCATTTAAATGAGAATGGAAATAAACCTCAGAAAACGAAGAATGGTGGGCAAACAGAAGAGGCATTGATTTGGAGAGTGGCTTATTCAAAGTCAAAAGAAGGACAAGGGGTCATCGAACCAGTGAAAATTGACAGCACTTATGGTTAGCACAGAAAAATAAACTTACTTTTTCTCAAAGTGCAATGCAAAGCCAACATAAATAATGATTTGCTTTTCAGGATATGTTAAGGACTTGATGAAAGAAGTTTTGTACTGCAGACGCATTAATCCAACACTGTCCAAAGCTCTTGATGTCACTAGAGTGAAAGAAATACCTGTCCCATTGACTCACCACAAATCAAAAATCAGCAAAGCTGAAGCCATTAAGCAACATAAATCTCGCTTTAATAAATAAAAAGAAATAACGTCCCACATGAAATAAACATAATTACAAATGAACAGACTTTGTCATACGCCATTAGCCCTACCATTCAGTAGTGTTGAGCATATTCAAATCCTTTGTATTCTCCAGAAGGCGAAGGAAATGCTTTCCGGATTTTGTCCACAGCACAAGAAGGTATGGGTAGTCGGTACTTTTTTCCCAACCTGCCATGCACCCAAGCCGTCCACTGTCGGTACGCCGTGTAGCGTAATGCTCTGAACGATACAAAATTTTGTCTAAGATACTTATCGGCATTATACACTTGTCGAAATACACGTAATTACACTTCTAAGGTAATATTTACTCGTTTTCTTCACTCTCAGGCATAGGTCCAATGTCATGGGTGTACACGACCATAGCTGTTTTTACGACAGCTTCGTTTGTACACACTGTGGCAAACTCTTCCTCTTGTGTGATGCAAATATGATCGCCATGTATCAGAGGATCAGTGTTGTTTACCTCTTGGCAACATATACTTTCCCGTCCTGTACTCATGACCACACAAAAGCCACACTCGCACCTAAAAGATAAAACATTCTTTCTACTTTGGGAAAAACAATGAAGCATCAATAAAATGCAACTAACCATTCAACATTTCCAATTCTGTGAATGTATTCATCTTCGCTTTCCGATGACGAAGAATTGTCATTACTATGACCACCTTCCGCGTTGGCTAAAGGCTCAAACATGTAAGGTTGTACCTCATTGTTATTGACGACAATATCATAATCGGCTTCTTCTTCAGAAGAATCCATTAATTTTTGTTAAATAAAAAACAGTAATAGCAAACTACCGAAAGCCGTGCAAGCACTGCGTGCAAGTCGTAGAACGATATAAGAACGATGCTTGTTTATGTCAACTATTACGTCACTCTTTCCCAGTTCCCAGATTTAAACAATCTCACGGCGTTTTAGCAATGGTCATCGAATATCGTGTTTTTACCGATTATAACCCTAAATATCTTTTTAAATATTTCGCGGACGACTTTGAAACTTGGTACGTCTTATTTTCACGCTATAGGCATTACAATAAAATAAAGTTGTCTTCTAGCTTGCATGTGTCCTTTAATATATTTGAAAATTGGTAACCCAGGCATATTATGATAATGATAATAATATAATTTAAGAATGTATTATTTACAAAGATTTTGTAGGCGTTTGGAGCGTCTGATTGTTTGGTTAGAAGTTGAGTTGATATTATTGGATGGTATAAGATGCGTTGTCATGGTTTCGGGTGTATGGATTGCGTTAATGAAATTTGAGTGTTTTATGTTAGTCGTTGTGTTATTAGTTTGTTGTTTTGGTTTTGTCTTTAGTTGTGAATAGATGATGGGTATGTCGATATGTCTGTTTATTGTGTCGTTGTCTTTGCTGTACCATGCCTCTTTGAATTCTCGTGCGTGTTTTGTCTGTGCGCGTGAAAGAAGTTGTGTTTTTGTCCAGTCAAATGTGTGGTTGGTATCGTAGGTATGTTCTGCTGGTAGTGATTTTGGGTCGCGTAGTTTGATGGCATTCTTGTGTTCATTGAGTCCAGTTTCAATTTTCTTGGATGTTAGTCGTATGTACTGTTTGGGGCAATCTTTACATGGTATCATGTAGACCGCGTTGGTTGTGTCAAATGTCGTTGTTCGGTCTTTATGTTTAGTGAAGTATGATTTGAGTTTGTGTGTTGGTTTATGTGCGATGTTTATTTTCAATGGTCGGAGTAGTCTTGATGTCATTTCTGATGTTCCGTTTATAGATGGTAATGTCACTATTTCTACTGGTTCGTCTGTATCTTCGTTAGGTTTTTCAGTTTGTGGTTTGTTGTGTATTTTGTTTAATATTTTGTTGATAAAGTTTCGTGGGTGAAATGCCACAACTTTCCTCACCAATAATGCTACACCAATAATGCTTTCCTCACCAATAATGCTACTTTAAAAATGCCACAACTTTCCTCACCAATATTAAAAATGTAAACTAAAACCAGACGAAATCATGATATCTTACGATGTAGTGTCACTTTTCACATCCATACCACTAAACATAGCCAAACAAGTCACGAACAAACTACTTACTAACAACAACTCGTGGAAAACCACAACCGAACTAGACCAAGACGATATCATCGACCTGCTTGAGTTCTGCCTCTCCACTGAATTCACCTTCCAAAATTCATATTACCGACAAATCTCAGGAACACCAATGGGTTCTCCTTTATCCACCTTTCTTGCAGAAGCTGTTATGCAACACCTTGAAAAGCATTCAGTCAGCAACAACACACACATCAGACTATGGAAAAGATTTGTTGACGACATCTTTGCTATCGTCGAAAAAAACAAAACAGAACACATTCTACACACAATAAACAACACCACACAGAACATAACCTTCACCATGGACAAAGAACAGAACAAACAAAATACCTTCCTAGATAGTCTACTTACCAGATCACATGACGGCACATTAAACACGCAAGTATTCCGCAAAAATACACACACAGACCAAATACTCAACTTTAATAGCAATCACCCAACACAACACAAAATTAGTTGCATACGAACTCTCTTTAACAGGATTAAAACACACTGCAATACAGAAGAAGCCAAGAAGAATGAACGCAACTACTTATACTCTACATTCATAAACAACAATTACCCACGAAACTTTATCAACAAAGTATTAAACAAAATACACAACAAACCACAAACTGAAAAACCTAACGAAGATACAGACGAACCAGTAAAAATAGTGACATTACCATATATAAACGGAACATCAGAAATGACATCAAGACTACTCCGACCATTCAAAATAAGCATTGCACATAAACCAACACACAAACTCAAATCATACTTCACTAAACATAAAGACCGAACAACGACATTTGACACAACCAACGCGGTCTACATGATACCATGTAAAGATTGCCCCAAACAGTACATACGACTAACATCCAAGAAAATTGAAACTGGACTCAATGAACACAAGAATGCCATCAAACTACGCGACCCAAAATCACTACCAGCAGAACATACCTACGATACCAACCACACATTTGACTGGACAAAAACACAACTTCTTTCACGCGCACAGACAAAACACGCACGAGAATTCAAAGAGGCATGGTACAGCAAAGACAACGACACAATAAACAGACATATCGACATACCCATCATCTATTCACAACTAAAGACAAAACCAAAACAACAAACTAATAACACAACGACTAAAATAAAACACTCGAATTTCATTAACGCAATCCATACACGCGAAACCATGACAACGCATCTTATACCATCCACTAATATCAACTCAACTTCCAACCAACCAATCAGACGCTCCAAACGCCTACAAGATCTTTGTAAATAATATATTCTTATATTCTGACGAAGGCTCGAAGCACCAAGTTGAAAGCTTAATAAAAATTTCAAAATAAATATCCAGAGAATCCTTATCATTATCATAATATGCCTGGGTTACCAATTTTCAAATAGTTGCCTGAAGATTGCCCTACGGCGTGAATCTCCGAGTAGCGACAGCAAACAATTGTCCATTTTATTTTAGTTCATTTTAAATATATATATATATATATATAAAAGATAAAAGTTTCTCCGGATTTAAAGTGAGTTTTATTGAGCTTTCGATTCGTTGCTTCGAGCCTTCATCAGAATGAAAAATATTTATTTACACGTGCTTTTTAGCTTGGAGACGTTTAGAGCGTCTAATTGGATGAGTGGGTGGATTAATGTGATTGGATGGGGTGAAATGCATTGCCATGGGTTTTGGTGTATTGTGAATATGATTGGTGTTAATAATATTAGAGTGTAGTGTTTTAGTTTTGGTGTTGTTTGTAGTTTTTATGTCCTTTTTCTTTAGTTGTGAGTATATGATGGGTATGTCGATATGTCTGTTTATTGTGTCGTTGTCTTTACTGTAGCAAGCTTATTTAAATTCGCGTGCGTGTTTAGTCTGTGCGCGTCCGAGTAGTTTAGTTTCTGTCCAGTCGAATGTGTGGTTGTTTCCGTGGGTATGTTCTGCCGGTAGTGAGTTCGGATCTCGTCGTTTTATGGCGTTTTTGTGTTCTGTGAGTCTTGTTTCAATTTTCTTAGATGTTTGTCCTATGTATTGCTTTGAACAGTCTTTACATGGTATCATGTAGATCGCGTCAGTTGTATCATGAATTGTTGTTTTGTCTTTATGTTTGGTGAAACATGATTTGAGTTTTTGTGTAGGTTTGTGGGCGACTTTAATATTAAATGGTCGAAGAAGTCTGGCAGTCATTTCTGATGATCCGTTTATGTATGGCAATGTGACGATTTTTACTGTTTCGTCCGGTTTTTTGTTGCTTTTGTCGGTTTGTGTTTTGTTTTGTATTTTGTATATAGTTTTGTTTATGAAGTTTCTAGGGTAATTGTTTTTAATAAATGTGGAGTATAAGTAGTTGCGTTCTGTTTTTTTGGCTTCTTCCGTATTACAATGAGTGTTTATCCTGTTGAAAAGTGTTCGAATGCAGCTTATTTTGTGTTGTGTTGGATGATTGCTGTTGAAATTGAGTATTTGGTCTGTGTGGGTGGTTTTGCGGTATACTTGTGTGTTTAGTGTACCGTCATCTGTTCTGGTTAGTAGGATGTCGAGGAAGGTAAGTTGTTTGTCGTGTTCTTCGTCTTTAGTAAAGGTAATGTTCTTTGTAGTATTGTTTATGGTGTGTAGGATTTGTTCAGTTTTGTCTTTCTTGACTATGGCAAAGATGTCGTTGACATATCTTTTCCATAGTCTGATGTTTGTGTTGTTTGTGACTGATTGTGTTTCGAGGTGTTGCATGACAGCTTCTGCGAGGAATGTGGATAGTGGTGATCCCATTGGTGTGCCTGAAATTGTCTGTAGTATGTGTTTTGGAAGGTGAATTCAGTGGAGAGGCAAAGGTGGAGTAAGTCTAGGATGTCATTTTTGTCTAGTTGTGTTGTAGCTTGCCAAGTTTTTTCGTTTGTGAGTAGTTCGTTTGTCATTTGTTTGGCGATGTCTAGTGGTATGGATGTGAAGAGCGATGACACGTCGTAGGATATCATGATTTCGTCTGGTCGTAGTTTAATGTGTTCAATACTGGCGAGGAAAGTGGTGGCATTTCTCATGGTATGAGGTGAATTTTTGACTAATGGATACAGAATGTTATAAAGATATTTTGAAAGTTCATACGTAGGTGATCCTGGAAGCGATACGATAGGTCGAGGTGGGTTGTTTTCTTTGTGGATTTTTGGTAGTCCGTAGAATTTGGCGGTGGATGCGTCATTTGGTCGGATTCTTCTGTAGTCGTTTTCGTTTAGTTTCTTTTTGTCTTTTAGTTGTTTCAGTTTCTGGTTGATGCGATTGGTGGTCATTTTGCTGGGGTCTGTGTGGAGAAGTTTGTAGGTGGTGGTGTCTTGTAGGAGGGTTTTGGCTTTGTCGATGTATTCTGATAGTCAAGATAGATAATATTCTGATAGTCTTTTGCCATAGTCAAGAAAGACAAAACTGAACAAATCCTACACACCATAAACAATACCACAAAGAACATTACCTTTACTAAAGACGAAGAACACGACAAACAACTTACCTTCCACGACATTCTACTAACCAGAACAGATGACGGTACACTAAACACACAAGTATACCGCAAAACCACCCACACAGACCAAATACTCAATTTCAACAGCAATCATCCAACACAACACAAAATAAGCTGCATTCGAACACTTTTCAACAGGATAAACACTCATTGTAATACGTAAGAAGCCAAAAAAACAGAACGCAACTACTTATACTCCACATTTATTAAAAACAATTACCCTAGAAACTTCATAAACAAAATTATATACAAAATACAAAACAAAACACAAACCGACAAAGGCAA